GCTGTGGTACCATGGGGTCTCTGTGACCCCACTCCTCTTTGACCCATATTTTTTTTTAAACTATCACGATTAGTGACTTTGCCTTTCACGTATTTTTTCGTTTGTTTGTCGATATTTGAGTACAAACGTTTGTTGTATAATATTATTTGGAGAAAAACAAAATATTGTAATAAACAGTGTTTTTATTCTGGTAATATAGTACTTTTTTACCATGGGGTCAAATTGACCCCATGGTACTGTCAACTTAACTTTTTCATGGTACCAGAGCAGGGTTAAGCTTACTTCAGGCATCAAACTTTTTCAGAAGTGAAATTATACCAATAACATCTTAAGTTAGGATATGGGTATAAGAGTTAACCTCATGACAATTTTGGCCCCATAAAACAACATAGGACATGGAATATAATAATATGGTTGTGCACATTTTGGCCTGCCGTAAACAGGCAAAATCTCAAATAAAAGAACAAGCATGAATGTTACATCTTCATAGAGAAGACAAGCTGCTGACAGGCGTATCAACATGATGGAAGTGGAGGTGTTGCGGGGGATTCATTGGCAGATCATCCGTTGGAAGGATATCTGTATCGGTGATATCATTCGAGCCCGAAACAATCAGTTTTTTCCAGCTGATCTTGTCTTACTTTCTTCCAGGTATATAATGCCTTTTCTTCTTGCCTTGTCTTATGAGTGGCATATCTATAAATAATAGAGGTTCTGGGTAACTCACTTCCAGTGAGCCACAAGGTATGGCATATGTGGAAACTGCCAACTTGGATGGAGAGACAAATCTGAAGATACGTCAGGCCCTAAATCAAACATCTGGACTCATGGAGTCCAATGAATTCAGTAATTTTGTTGCAACCATAGAGTGTGAGCCTCCAAATCGTCATCTGTATGAATTTGTTGGAAATCTCAATGAGCAGGGGAAAAAGTGAGCTACTTTTTATTTCTATTATCATCTTGCAATACTGATTCCTTTGCCATGATTAGAGGCATTCCATCCCTTTAGATCAGCGTCTTTAGGGCCCCAGCAAATCCTCCTGCGAGGTTCAAAGCTTCGTAACACCAACTGGGTCCATGGGGTGGTGATTTACACTGGGCATGAGACGAAGCTCATGAAGAATTCTTCATCTCCACCATTGAAACGCTCCACTGTTGACAAGGCTACAAATTGGCAGATCCTATGGCTTTTTGTCCTTCTCATAGGGATTTGTCTCATCACATCTGTTGCATCTGAAGTTTGGAATGAGAAGAATCTTCCAACAAACTGGTACCTTGGCATGGATGGTGAGGACATTTAGGCTTCCTCTGATTACACTGGGGAAAAGGACTGTACTAATGATCATTTCGTTTTCCCTTGCAGAATTAAGCACTGCAAATTTTGGCTACAATCTTCTGACATTCATCATCCTTTTCAACAATCTCATACCCATATCTCTACAAGTGACCTTGGAGCTTGTTCGTATGATGCAGGTATGTGGCTTTTTTCTACATGTCAGCAATTGTATTATTAAATTATGTTACCTCTATCTGATTCATTTCAAAGCCCTTCCACTTTTCAGATTTTTCTGATCGATGATGGGAACTTGATATGTTTACTTAGGCTGTAGATGATGTTTGAACTGGGTATTTGAGTGTTTGCCATGGAGAGTGGCTTCTCTGACAATCTTTAATGCTAACATGTACTGGCTTTCATTGGTGTCATTCTTTCATGCATGTCATGCAATGAGGAAAACTGTTTTCTTTACAAACACAGGCCATTTTCATTTCCAATGACTTGGACATGTATTATGAAGAAACAGACACCCCTGCTCTCGTGCGTACATCCAATCTGAATGAAGAACTTGGGATGGTCAAGTATGTGTTAACAGACAAGACTGGGACTCTCACTCGGAATGTCATGATATTCAAAAAGATGTCAGTAGCTGGCCTGATGTATTCTGCTGATGAGGACCAAATTATTCAAGTTGGTTTAAACCTGAAGTTTCTCACTGCATCTTTATGCATGCTCATCTTGATATTATTATGATGAACATTCTCTCTGGTCTTGCAGAACCTGAAAGGAGGTCATGAAACATCAGCTTACATCAAGGAGTACCTAACTTTACTCTCTGTGTGTCACACTGTCATTCCAGAACACAATCCAGATACCAACATTTTGTCTTACTATGCTGCTTCACCAGGTAAGTGAATCTAGTCTTTCTGTAACCCAGATTGAAATAAAATATTCTCTGCTATGCTTCAATGCTGAAGTTACTAATAACTAAAACAGATGAGCAAGCACTGGTCCAAGGAGCTCGGAAGCTGGGTTATGTCTTCAACACTCGTACACCTGAAAGCGTCATCATTGATGCTGGAGGATCAGAGGAAAAGTTTGAGGTGTTGAATGTCTTAGAATTCACAAGTGAGCGGAAGCGCATGTCTGTGATTGTAAGGACCAGTGAAGGAGAGATCAAGCTATACTGTAAGGGAGCTGACACAGTCATATATGAACGATTGGGGATTGATCAGGCCTATAGAGATGTCACACTTCAACACCTGGAAGGCTTTGCTACTGAAGGCCTTCGCACTCTCTGTTGTGCAGTTGCCCATATCACTGAGGAACAGTACCAGGTACTCGTATCTTAAGCAACATCCTGATCAGTGATGTCTTTGAGTTGGTTCAGTATGGTCATATTTGTTAACTATCTTTTGTCTAGGAATGGCAGCAGGTATTTCAGAAGGCAGTGACCTCATTGCAGTTTCGCGATACCAAAATAGCTGATGCAGCAAATATGATTGAGCAGAACCTCATTTTGCTTGGAGCAACTGCCATTGAAGACAAGCTTCAGGATCAAGTGAGATAGTATCTTTCATTCTTTTGAGATTCTGCAATACTGTCACCATTTATTAGATTTGTTCTTAAACCTTTCAGTGCTAAATTCCTTTCCTTAATGCACTCCTGTGCTGAGATTTTTGCTTATGGTACACCATGGTATGTTCTACTTATAAAAAAAACTAGCAAAGGTGTTGCACGAGTGAATATTGTATATACAGGGTGACCGGAAAGTTTGGAGACTTGTAAAATTTTTTAGATTTTTTTCAAGTGTGAGGCTTCATTTCTTCCATGAGTCTAACTCTAGGCTTAATCTTTTTGCATCGCAAATATGACTCCTCCCGGTGCAGATATGGCATCGAAACCTAGCCGAGAAGCTGTGATTTACATGTTTCAGCAAGGTCATTCACCTGCAAAGATCATCAAGGAGCTGAAACTGCTACGATCCACTGTGTACAAAGCCATTGCCCACTACAAGGAACTTGGTACAACTCAGGATCGACCCAGAAGTGACCATCCCAGTGTCTTCAAGGATCCTGCTCTTCGAAAGCGTGTCAAACAGCTTCTTGATCGAAACCCGGAACGGAAGTGCTGAAGTCTTGCAAAGCACTTGAAGATCAAATGCGAAACTCTGCACTCCTATCTTGGAAAGAAGTTGGGCATTTTCCCTTTCAAAAAAAGAGTAGTTCAGGTGCTTACGAAGAAGGAAAAATCAAGGAAACTACTGGCGAGATTCAAGCGAAACTCACACCGTCGGATCGTGTTCTCGGATGAAAAAGTTTTTACAGTTCAGCAAGCGTTTAATCCCCAAAATGATCGTGTGTGGGCCAGAAAAGGATCCAGAGTCTTGTCAGAATCTCTGTTTGTGCAAAGAATGCAAAAACCCCAGTCTGTCATGGTCTGGGGTGGCATTTCAGCCGACGGTAAAACACCCTTGCATTTTGTGGCTCCTAACATCAGAATCAATGCCAATTACTATCAAAATGAAGTTCTGAAGAAGGTTCTCTATCCTTGGGCAAGGGATCCTTTTGGGGATTCTTCCTGGACATTTCAACAAGACAATGCTTCAATCACACCAGCCGGTCAACAAAAGAGTGGTGCGTGCACGAGTTGCCAGATTTTATTGGTCCAGAAGCTTGGCCCTCCTGCTCCCCTGATTTAAATCCGATGGACTATAGTATCTGGTCCTTTTTGGAGGCAAAGGTCTGTGCTACTCAGCCGAAAAATTTGGACAGCCTCAAGTCAACTTTGCTGAAAGCATGGGACGAAATCCCTGTGAAACAGCTGCGAGAAACTATGGACAATTTTCCAAAACGCCTCAGAAAAGTTATTGCTGACAATGGGGGCTATTTCGAAGATGTTTAACTCATTTTGAAGGTTTTCTTATGTTCTTTCTTATGAAATAAAAGAAAAACATTTATTGTTCTTTATGACTTCGGGATATTGGTATTTTTGAGTGTCTCCGAACTTTCCGGTCACCCTGTATATTGACTTTTCCCATGGCCTTTCGGTCCAATCGCAGCGGCAGATTCATTATTCAATAAAACGCAGTCAATGCATTATTTCTACTTCGAAACTTCCATGTGTTTTTTCTTTTTCCTTTTTGATTTCCATACTACATTTGTTTTGACGGAAACTGGACGTCATATTCTCATTATTTATGACGGTTGTTTCCAACACGGGGAGCTGCTTTGGGTCGATATTGAGGTGAGATGCTCTAGCTCCCATTCTCTTTATTAAGTCGTTAATAGTCTGGATGGGAGGTACACAATATTTTGGGGAAACATGAAAGGAATCGGATAAAAATATCGGATTCAACTAAGCATGCAATGTCATTTGGAACTTCATGTTATGTGGGATAATTTCATTCTTTTGGAAATTGATGATCAACTTGATGAAAATGATGTCGATGGGCGTCCACTTCACTCCTCATCCACTACGGTTACACGACCATTTTCGGAGTCACGGCACCATTTCCTCACGTTGCACTGACAGGACATCCGTGCCGTACACAACCACAAGCTGTCGGTGGATTTTCACTGGTTGTGTCTTCTGTGCCCACATAAGTCGAATTACTGCTCGGATCTCCAGCTTCGTATACACGAGCAGTACCTTCGCCATGTTCGCTCCGACTCTGCGCCTACCGCGGTTTGTAACAGCGGTGGCTGCTGCCATTTAGTGACACTATTTGGTACTAACATGGGGGGGGGTGTCACAGCACCAGATGTTTGTTAGTTTGGCGGGCAGAAAAATGGGAACCTTACTTTCTGACTTACCCTCGTGTATATGCAGCTCGATAGTGATTCCATTTGCCAGAAAGGGAAAGCCGCCCTCATGGAGCGATGAGCAGTGGTTAAGAATTCTCCCTCGATGATTTATAACTAGTCGGGGGAGGAAAGGAAGGAGAAACACTGAAGAAACCAGTGAAAGCAAAGGCCTGTTTTTCTTTCTCGGGCACGAAAGAAACGACTTCAGTCAGGATGACCTCTCCTCGATCGTTCAACGTGGAAAATTGGGCTATACCTCATTTGTTGATTTCCCCATCTCTTTGCATCTGCGGACCCTCTCGGACCTCTGCGGACCCAGCAGAAGAGAGGATCAGGACGGCCGAAAGAAAGGCGAGGAGAAGCGCCGTCGAGAATTGTATGGGCGGGTTTCACTGTCTGGACTCTCGAGCAGCTCTGCAGCGTCGGAGGGATGGGGAACCGAGGTCGTTTCGCCCAGGATATTCTTTCCTCCTTAGAAAGAATATCCTTGGGGGGGAATGCATCGGTCTGCTTTTTCTTCCTGCTTCTTTTTCCTTCGAGGTTTTAGTTTCGCAAGTTTGACAATAAATGCGAAACATGTCACCATTCCGAGCGAAGTATGGTTACCTCCTGGCAAATGGGAGTCGGTGAGTTTTGTACCGAGTTTAGACGTGGGACAAATGAAGATAAGTAAGGTAAATAATTAATGCGGAGATTTCCTCCATTTTGTAACTGGAGCCATAATTGTTTTAGTCATGAAACTGGTAGGGTAAAACCCCAGTGATAGGCCACGTCGCAGGAAAATTCCAAAAAACTAGGCATTTGTTTCATGACCACCTTTGAAGTATGCATGTGCTTAAATGCATCTAGCTTATGTCACAACAGGGGTAGGCGCGCTATGGAAGCTTAACTGTTAGAATTTTTTGTGCTGTGGCCCATCTCTGGGTCTTTTACCATAGGCAATATCGAATGAGAGGAACGGTGAGGGGATATTTTGGACGATGGCATTTTAGCGGGAAAGGATTCAATGGCTGGATAAGTTTTAAAGGGGAGTGTAATTTTCTGTGAATGGAAAAGAAATGACAGAGGAATCACAAGTAACAAACATGCAACAAACAAAATGAAGACGAAATGCCCTTCTAATGCTGTTTTCGCCCTGATTTGGGACCCATTCTTCTCTCTTTCCTGACCCACTCCGGTCAGGAAATACAGCGCTTGAAATAAATCGACACTCCGCATCTGGACCACGCTAACTTGTAACTCTGAACTGCATGTTCTGCTATGTCACTCTCAATGAAAAACTGAAAACCATATTATTAGGAATCATCGAACGTGTAAAAAAAAAACATTCCATGTAATTTATTCTGAGCGTAGATTTTAAATTGGTTGTTGCATTGTAACTGGTCTCAGGCTATCAATGGAAATGGGAAGAATGATTGAGAGAGCTTATGATCTTGTGCACCACCCCCTCCCCCCAGCAAGTTTGAGGGGCGGAAGAGGACAAAGTGCACGATCTCTTTGAAACTGCAATATTTGAATCCAGATCCGATGGATCAACCGATGAACCGCAGAGAGTCTTTTCTTGTCGACCTGCGTACCCTGCGCATTCACTCATTTAAGCCACACGAAGAACAAAATATTGCAAATATAAACAGGGTCATGTTTGCAATATGGACCGGTTTTCCACACATTTGTCCCCCCTCGGATATCATTTATTTTCTTTCAAGGCTTCTTCTAGGTCTGCAAATTGTGGGTAAACTTTTGTTGGATTTGTGGAGTATTGTGTAATAGTGGGACTTCATTCTCGTTCCGTTATATGAAACTTGTAGCAGACGACGCACTATCATTTCCTCCTTCTCCTCTCACAGTCTCTCACCTGCCTAGGCTTTTCCCCCCTTCGCTTTCCCCAGCACAGGGATATGAGGCGCCAGCAATCCTCCGCTATACAACTCGCTTTTGATTTCCTCATTACTTCTGTTCGTTTTCCCTGCTAATTCCTAGCCTCTCCGCCATTAGAGGCCTGCACTGATGAATTTTTCCGAAACGGACCTGGTCCGCTCGAGTGGAATCACGCACCACACCCGACCCAGAATTCGATCGTCGGCCTCGTTCTATGGGGCTCGAGCCTCACCTCATGTTGGACTGATCGCGTTGCGGGCTGCTTAAGTCTCTAAGCTTTTAAACTGTAAGTCTCTGGAAAGTATTCGCCTGCACCGGACCGGAAACTTGATGAGCAACGCAGCAACTTGCCCGGTCGGTCCCATCAAATCGATACGCTTCTCTTGCATAAGAGCTCTACCACGTATACCACACCGTTTGAAATTCGAACATCATGTTTCCTTCAACCGCTACAGGGCAGAATCTGCTGAAAATTAGTATACAGCCGATCGGGGATTCCCTAATGTCGAAGGAGAATAATTTATTACCCTATTTATATTTTTCCTGAGCATGACTCAGAACACGTCTGGAGGCATGTTTGAAAGTCTGTAATAATGCATGTGGCATGTTAAGGACCTTTGCATTTGTGTCACGTAGAGGTTGGCAAGATATGAGCCTCTTGGGCTTGTCAAACAAATATTCACACTGTAACGTGGCGGACCGGATACCATAATCATATCAACTTCATTGGATATGATTATCAAAATGGATTCAAGGAGATGAGGGGATGAAGGAATCAAAAATCACGAAGGAGCGGTGAAGGAGAAAAGAAAACAGGTGCAAATAGGGGAGGCAGACGGGATGGCCTTTCATCCCGTTGAAAGAAGAATGCTGCACTCAGGACACATGGGAGACGTCATCTCCAGGGATGCTCGATCCTCACCATTCTCCCTTTATACATCGTTCTGAACACTAGAAGCAAGCCAAGGGAAGCGGAGAGCTGTTTTGTGACGCCACAATGCTACACACCCGATATGTAAACAGACTACGAGGAATCTGTTTTTTTTTTGTATGCACAGGATTTATTGAGAAATTGGAGTGTTGGTATTACTTGCATGTTTGACCTAGGATTTGTATCTGTAAGTGAAACAAGTGTCTACTTAAACCAATACTGAACTAATTATCTCTTAATGAAGGATAATTGCTAACCCTCTAGCCCGATATACACAATATGTACACAAAGAAAGGCAAGACGCATAAGTCAAGAGAGGAAATTTTAGGGACAAAACCCCAGTCCTGGAACTCAATTCCATAGTAGTTTAACTTCCCAAAATAACTTTAATTGTAGTTTTAGCTCATTTATTGCCACTGGAACTCCAGTCGTACTTTATTTTGTCGTCTCTGTGGGGATTTTCATAAACTTATTGTTTTATATTTTAGTTTTCGTCTAATTTATGTTGGACTTGATCAGAAATCAAACAAATTCAAATTTTTACTCCCTATTTTAGTCATTTCATTTCAGTTCATTTTTTTCCGTTCTCAAGATTCCTTCAGAATTTCAATGGATCCGCTATTCTTTATGAAACTTTCACCCAACTCAACTTTCCTAGCAGTTGCAACAGTTGCAGTTGCCTATGTTCCCAGAGAAATAAATGTGGCTTCAAATTTTTAGTAAACAATTCAGAAACGAATTATTGGAACTTACGCTGGAATAATATTTTCAATGTGTAATGTAACAGCCGGAAATATTTCTGTCAATGCTCATTTCCGTTTCCAATGGAGGAATTATTTTATATTCTCGCGAAAGAAAATTGAAATATTTTCCTCATATTTCTCGTTGTAAACGCATTTCAAAGTAGGACATGGACTATTCCTTTCCATAAATTTACCGAAACTGTATGAAGCAATTGATCAGACACCGAAACATTATTGAAAGCACTGCCAGCTCTTCCGTAAACCATAGGAATAGATGCTGGTGCAGGTAAAATGGTATGTCCAAAATGTCAGCTGTGATTCAACGGAGACCACTGTTGAAAACCGTTGATTCAATGGCGAATCACCGTTGATTAGCTTTTTTAATTTCAACATGTTTAGCTTTTCCTGTAAGGGCTACGCCTTCCTGTTAAATATATGGAAAACTGAAATGAACCTCTCCAGCGGACCTAACAACGTTTAGGTTGTGAAGGTCTTATAATGTGAAACCGTTCATTGCTGCCTCACGCATGAGTGATGGAACGTGGAAGGTTTCCCAGAAGGGGGAAGGTTTCCCAGTTGTAGAGCTGAAACAGTTGCAGGAAATCAAAAATTCCATAATCAGTAACGAACCTAGAATGTGCTTCTTTCTTCGCTTCTATTGGAATAATCGTTTTATTCGTCGCAGTTCACTGCGCCTACTTCCCAAAGGTCCATGTGAGATTTAAACTAGTGGCACGTAAACCTGCTGCAAACCGGAGGAAACTATGTACTCTGTTGGTTGTCGTGGAAGGAGTCACCATGATCTTGAGAGACTACCACCCCAGTAACTCCCGAACTTGTTCAATGAATGTTTCATTTAACTTATTGCCAGAGTTCCATTAACGTCCTTGGGAACGTTCTGTTGACTGCTTACATGTTAAAAATGCAAGGCAATGAAAAATAACTCAATTTATGAGTTCCCTGAGCTTAGATTTTTCCATGGTTTCGATAAAACTGTATTTTTTAGGATTCATCCGATATGCAATTAACGTTTTTGATACGTTAATTTCATTGAACTAGTATGTATGAAGCCTGCCATCATTTACCAGTGATTATCTTCGGCACCCCACAGGCGAATGGAACGAAGGAGGCGAATGCGAATGGAATTGAAGAAAAAGATAGCCCCTCTATTTCTTCATGGACGCTAAAAATCCCAGGATTTCCGGCAGCAGGGGGGAGGCATCACGGTGAGCGATGCCACTGTTCCCTTTGCGATTATACAGACAACTCTCATTTCCTCGTTCTTCCGAGGGATGGCGAGACGATAGCGAATCTCCGATTTTGCGTGGAAGTTGCATCCCCTTCCTTTCCTGTGGCCGATTTGGAAATATAATGTTGAAAAGGCACATCCTCGGATGATAAGGAAGAGTTCTGTCGAAACCCCAAGTTCATATCTACAAGCGTTTGGCCTGTAGAGCTGTCACATACACACACACACACAAACAAACAAACAAACAAAGAATCAATTGTCGCTCGGCCTAGCTAGCGGCCAGAATCGCGCACGCTATATGTTTAACCTTTTCTGGTTTGAAAAGTGTAATTTAAACAATTAAAAACCTATATCTATGGCAGCTAGTTCTTATCGAGATTTATTCATTGATTTGAAGGATACAGGGAAGAAAAAGAGAATATATTTTTGATAAATTGAATGAAGTCTTGCTTTTCATTACCTCATTATCTGATTTGGAGGAATGGAGATCTTGTCGATGAAAATAGAAATATGCGGTTGAAAGGTCTGTCAACAGAATTCGTCCCAAGAAGCAAAACATTCTTGAAGCTGATGGCTGAATTTGCGATGAAGAAGTTTCGGGGCTGCTGAGCGAAGTTCTAAATCAGTGATGAGCAACTTTTTTTGACTGCGAGGCCGCAAGTGAACCTTTTAGGTTCCCGGCAGGCCGCATGCATTTATTATTATTACTAAATTACAGGCTTCATGCTGCTGAGCAACAAAATAATCCTAAGCCTGGCTTAGTAAACCAGGTACGAAAATAGTAAATGCCAATTTTATGCTAATGACTAATTTTGAACATTCTCCCACTTTCTTACTGGACAAAATACCGATCAAGCCCTTTGCTCCGAAAGCAGTGATGCAATGACCAAGACGAGGTCGAAGTTCGAAATAGCTAGAAAAAAAACGTGATTTTCGAGAGGATTTTCAAATGGCACGCAAAGAATGCCTAAAAGGTTTGAACGCCACTTTGCATAGAGATGCATTGGACACGGTGCAAAATCTGACTTATGGATTTCTCGATGCGTTGCTTGCAACTGATTTTGGAGGGGCAAACGTGAGGCGCAACGAGTCGAGATTTTCGCAAAATCCGTTTCCCATTCTGAACCCATGGTACTATCATGAAGAATGTCATATCATAGAGTAGAATTTAAGGAAGAGAATGAGACTAATTTCAACGTTCTACATGTAACGATGCCGGAGATGAATGCCTCTGAGGAGACCCATCGAAATTTTTGCCTTTGACCCTACTTCCTGTCTACACCTTTACCTTTGAGTATTGAAAAGTGGCTCTTGGGCCCTCCTTCGAGGTCCCTAACAATAATTGTAGAGCGGAATTTTGATCCAAGGGGTCAATTTTTATGTTATATGTATCTTAAAGGAATGCGATGTTCAAGCTTCCAAGTGTGGTGATTAAACGTTGCTATCGACACGTACTTACGATGCCTTCGTTCTTTCTTTGAATGACCCAAAATAGGAATCTATAGAGGGGAACGCTTTATCATTTGATATCACCATTTTGGTAACAAAATTATGGATCCCAGGCCACAAAGAAGCTCACATTCCCAATGAAAACCCTTTACGGTGATAGATTCACCTCACCCGAAAGGAGTTACAGCAACTTTATCTCCCGGGTTTCACTCCGAAGCCAGAACCTCTCGGCCATCGAACCCCGGTACATAATGGCCATCCTTGCTCTTCTCCACCTCTACAGCGCCTTGCATTTCACTGTAATGAAGGAAGAAGTCCACATGAAAGGTTGATTGATATGGCGAGGAACTGATGATAATAGGGACGTGCCATACATTGAAAAAACCAGAGCCACAACAAAAAAGGGAAGCCGGACACATCCAGAGGAAGAAGCATGGTCCATGCTTTCCACCTTCAGAGTGTGCTTCTATTGCTTCATTTGTATGATATTGCCTCGGGCTCCCGGTCCAGCCAGGGCAGACCGAGTATGGAATCGTTGGGACATCAGAATGGCACTCGGGACATTGCTTCACCTGATAAGACACGGGTCTAATCTATGATGATGTTAGCGATTATCGTGTCAGAGTTAGATAGGCGTGCTCCACTCTGTCTCTGAACGACCATTGGTAAAGTCGTCTTTGTTCGGGAAGAATCGCCCGAATTTGACCTTGTGTGTTTTCCTGCACCAATTCACAAACTAGACTGAAAGGTTCGGTGAAAGGGTTTCGCTGCAAAATAGCATCATGGGAGACACAATTTATTCGTGGCTGATACACCTGAGGGACCTTCTGAAGAGCAGGGATATTATGATTAACGTGAACAGGTTCATCGACGAGATGACATTGAAAAGACTTATTGGTGCTGCTGACGATTACAGAATTAAGGAAATGTCAGCGTACTCAAGAAAGATTGATGAAATTTTCAGGATCCTCCTGGAAGATGCTTCACAGCAAACCGTTGATAAAGTGAAAGTCATTTTGAGGAGAATGGGGAGAGGGGACATCTTGAGGAAGGCTCAAGAAACTTTGGAAAGTGAGTATTACAATTTTTTCCACCTGGAGCTCACCTCGATTATGAGGCGTTACCAAACTCAAATTTTATTTGGGGTGCTAAGTAAATTTAAGAACGTGCTTCCATGTTGGATCGCAAAAACGGTGATTGTGCTGAGACGGGTCCAACGCCGGATATACTGAGGTCATCAACGATTATTTGCATTGAAATTGATCGGAGAATCAAGAGTAGTGCAGTCGAGTAGTATATATTGAAACGGTGTCCTTAACAGAAATATAAGGGGCCACGTTTGCTCCAATGTGAAGGGTTTCAAAAATTGGGTTAGGTTAGGTTAGGTTATGATGCATTTATTTTGCATGAGTTTTCCTTCATAATAATACTTTCAGCAGTTTTAAGGGAAGGGAAATGGAGACTACCAAGAAAAGATCAATTAAAATGCAATTGAATTGTGCTTTGTAAAAATCTATTCATGTATCTACGATTCATTAAGTTTCATATAATGAATCGCGCATAAAAACTTGCTTGCTAGATTTTCCAATTCTCCTTTTATGAAAAATGCTATTGCATGGTTTTTACATGAAACTAGTTTGCATGTTAGACCTTGTTAACTGAATTGTATGGGTAAGTGGATATTAACTTCAGCAGAATTGGTTGTTTCAGGCAGGGAACACACTGGAGGCAATTATTACATTGCGGAACGACTTCAATGTAATTAATATCTCTCAATATACTTATTCACAGCAAGTTCAGATAATCGCAGAGCGTCTCACTTGTATAGCCCTCAGGGAAATATCTTATTTTTAGCACCACTTCCTTCCATCTCATGCCAAACCGTTGTAAGGTGCTCATTAATTGATGGAGTTTGGAGCAGGTGGAGACGTTTTATACGATAAATAATTTCATGCAAGACCTAATGAAGCTATTCCAGAAACAATAGTCTTATCCATGTAAAGATTGTCATATCCGTAGTTTTTTATCTTTAGGTTACCGATTAAAAAAAAACAGTTGAGTTTTTAGAGCATATTTCTTTAAAATTGGTATTTTAAAGTCATGGAATCTTTCCCTTCTGAAGAATGCCATATGGGGCTCCCCTCCACTATTAGAAGATAATTCAATAGAAGAATGAGAGTATATAAAATGTTATGAAGATTCTCATGCATCTGGAAGCTTAGATACAGCAAGAGATTTTACATATACTACTCCTAATAAAGATCTTTCGTTGTTACCCTGTAAATCTTATTTAAGGATTCAAGGTAGATTAACTAAAGATAACGGAATTGTCTATACTAACTTAGAGAAAGCTACTTTGCCTAATAATGATTTTAATATTTTTGAAGAAGCAAGATACTATACAAGGCATAATGATATTGAATATTTAGGAAACGTTTGCACAGGACCTTTAGTCAATGATATTAGAGACTATACGCACCTTGATGAGGTTAAGGGTATTCATCATTTGCAATGGTGGTTTCCAAATACTTATGCTGGAAGTAGAAAGATCCATGGATACTTGTTCTTCCTTTTAATCTTAAAGACGATCCTCATGGTACAGGTGAACAACAAGAAGCCAATAAGATTTGCTGAAAGATGGAGAGTTATCAAAGAAAATGTTATGTACATATGTATGTTTGCTTTTACCAATTCATAGATTGTATTCGCTTTGTAATAATATTCAACGTGTATTTAGAGGAGTAAATCATAGAATCACATTAACTTTAAATAGGAAAGAATAATCTTCGAATCAAACGATTTACCAGATGGAAGGTTTGTTATTAATGAGATGGAATGGATGGTTCTTTATGTGAACCATATTGAATAGAATGGATATACTAAAGAATCAACTAGCAAAAAATGCTAAATTTAGATTAAAATGGAATGCAATTACTGTATACGATATATGACCTCAAAAACAACAAGATATTAAAGTTCAACTGTCAAGTTCTATTTACAAGCCTACAGGTATATTTGCTTATAAAAACTGACATGTCCAGTAGTGAATAATATTGTATTTGATCTCTTCAAAATTGAACATATATTCCTTGAAATTAATTATGAACATACACTACATTAACCGATTAAATGCAACTTCGAATATGACAATCATGTAGAGATGTATAATAGGTTTTTAGAAGCTGGTAAATAAAATAAGTAATGAACTGATTATGAGGCCTTTAAAAAAATATTAACCTATTTTTTATATAGAGGTTTCTAAACATCCTTCAGAGCTCATATGAGAACACCAAGTTTCACCTATAAGCTATAATTAAAACTGCATTGATGATATGTATACGAACAAGCATGAATTTCACTTCATGCCTTGGTTAAATCATGAAGCGTATCTGTCTAATAATCAACTTAATATTGAAAAATCAATTTGGCCTCTGGTTCGTCATCAAGGGTTTATGACACACTTCAGTTTTGTCAGATAAAGGACAACACCTTTCAGTCAGCTGTAGAGAGATCTAATGGGGTCCCGCTTCACCGGATTGAACGGGAAAAAGTCCGCAACTCTGATTTTCAAGGAAAATCCCTCCATTAACCATGTCTTAGGTGAGGAACATGAGTGATATTTAATGACCGAGGCTTGACACTACCCTTTACATGTCACATGGAAGCCGCAAGTGTATATTTTGAAGCCGAATAGAATATACTCGATATATACATATCTACGATAAATATATGTTTAAAAAAATAAATAGTACCAAACGCACATTAACGCGCGTGGACGTAGTTTAGGAAAATACATTTGTTTCCAGATGGGATGCATATTTAACTAACGAATTATTTCTCCAAATATCATCAATTTCAAGTTTCACTGATTTTTTAAATGAAAAATTATTCACTTGGTAAATGATAACAAAGCTCACTTATCTATTGCTACAAAGTAAGCAGTTTCAAGAGAGCGGTATATATTTTCGGAGATCTGTGTTCACTAGATTTTATGAGATTCCACGAATTGAAAGTAGGGGGAAACTGGGATTTTGTTTTAGAGTCCTCTACTTTTCAAATTTTTCATTATCGAAACTATTGCAGATACATCAAGAAATAAGCTACCATATTTCAATACTCGGATGGGAGGATCACATACCTGTATATATTTTTAAAGAAAAATCCAAGACTTTGACCTGACACAAAAACCATGACCCCGGCTGATTTTAAATGGAAACACCCAACGTATTTTTCACTCATAGGCCTGCATGAAAAGTGGTGGGGATGGACTATACGGACGATACGCATAAAGGCGCGATCGATAGAGGATAATATTTCCAATCAATAGAAGCCTGTATTGTAGGCTAACACCTGCCTTGGTGGGCGGGGGACAGGGGTGGCGGGGGGTCATGCGGAAGTTCAAGTCCAAGCGGTTGCTACGTAGAGCGTTGACAAGGCCGCTGACTGAATTCGTGAATACCCGAAAATGCTGCGCGCTTAGCATCGGCTGACCCTGAGTTGGTGGATGTCTTCCACGGATTGGAGTCTCCGTCTCGTTATTGACCTCAATTTTTCTTTCGAGCTTTCGCGACTGTCGGGACCGTCCTCGAGGACGGGAGAGAGAGGCTGGCGCGTAGCGTTCGAAGGGCCGCTGGTTGACCCCGTGGGTTCCCGACAAGGTAACATGCTTCGCCTAAGTCAGAGATGTCAAACTAGATTAAGCAGGATGGAATCCTTTCGGTATGGTTGGGTCCACATAGCAAATCTTAATCCCTAAGTTTCAAATGCTAACGGGTTGAAATAGTCGAAAATTTTCAAAAACCTAATGTTGGAGATAACTTTGCCATCCGGACAAAATTGACTAGTGGGCTGTTTGGCACCCCTGGCCTTGGCCGACCAGAAATTTGTGAAAATCTTCCAAGAATCGGCTAGTTCCTTGTATTAGTTTAAAATGACATTAAGAGCTCTATTCCACACATGTTGCAATCGGGTTGATGACTTGATTAAAGAAGATCGGCGCATTTAATATTTAATGCAGTCATCAACCCGATTCTTGTGAGATTTGTAGCTTGCCGTCACAGGTCTCCCACTTCGCTGTTGGTCACACAAATCCCTTTTTTCTGGTTCACCATCGTTACACTTTTTGACCCAACGATGCACAGTTCTCTCGTCAACACATTCATCACCATAAACAACCTGCATTCGTCGATCAAAATCAATCGGAGCCACTCCTTCCACGGTCAAAAATTCGATTACAGCACGTTGCTTAAATCGCGATGACGAGTGGGTCATGGGAAGTCTCCATTTCAACTGCAACGAAAAAATGACCGTTCACTCTAACGACTTGCTAATGACTGGGGCGCCAGACACTAAGTCACAGAACGTGTCAAGCCTTTTCACGCTACTAGTGCTATCTGTTAAAAATTATGGACATAGAGGGATTACTTTTCATTCAACCCTCGTATTTTGAACATTGGAAAGACAGGAGTTCCGGAAATTCCTTCTAAAATGGTATTTCTAGATGTTCTATGCATCTCGATAAATAAAAATCCTTACGTAGAACTGATATGAAAGGCTTCATTTGCGTTCCACTCGAAGTCGTTGAAGTTCTGCGTGATGTGAATTTCGGGCCACGCGATACGAAAATTATCCCTGAATGTGACTCAGATCATACATTAATCCGAGATAACGATATCTCGCCAGCGTGAATCCTCCATTGTTGCGCAACCCTAGACCACGATGGAGTCTTCACCGACATCCGCACAGGTTCTTCAAAAAGCACCCTCGCTCAAATGAATGCGAGGTCTTCGCTGTGAAGCGGACAGTGCAGCAAGAGGTGAAAGGGGAGGGAGGAAATGATTCGCCTCCGCTGCGTCCAACGAGATCTGAGTAATCGCCCTGGGGTCATTGCATGCGAACGTGGTTTTCACCATGCATTATTATAGTTCGGCTGGCTTTTTTTTAGATTTTGATGGTAGGCTGAGGGGATTACACTGATTTCGTTCCTCTCGTACCCATTTCGCATCAATTCGGAGTCCAAAGAGAGCGCTTTAGTGAAGGCCGGATTGACGGGTCTTTCCGTCTTTCTCATGCTTTCGACCTTTCTCGTCCTTCCTTCTGCCCAGAAGACGAAAAGGGTCCGAAAGGCAAGACCGACAAGGATTCGTATCCTCGAAATTTCTCACGAGATGGTCCTTTTCAGTTGTTAGGGTCTGTTTATTGTCGATGACCATGACGTGATCCTACGTGACGAATTCTAAATTCCAAGCTTTGACACACCTCGTATGATCTTTGGTCGTCACTTGAAACAAGTGTGGAATAGAGCCCTGAATGTCATTTTAAACTAATACAAGGAACTAGCTGACCATTGGAAGATTTCAACAATCTATCAATCGGAGCCAATCCTTCCACGGTCAAAAATTCGATTACAGCACGTTGCTTAAATTGCGATGACGAGTGGGTTATGGGAAGTCTCCATTTCAACTGCAACGAAAAAACAACCGTTTACTATAACGACTTGCCCATGACTGGGGCGCCAGACAATGAGTCACAGAACTTGTCAAAACTTTTCACGCTACTAGCGGTATCTGTTGAAAAATTATGCAAGTAGAGGCATTACTTTTCATTCAACCCTCGTACTTCGACGGAATAATGGAACTATTCCATGTTTACTCCTCCCTGTCACGTGCAGAGACGATACGATACGAAGAAAACTGCAGACATCCTGCTGCACAGACTATTCCATTCTTGAAGGGAAGTGGAAGCGACGGATCCCCATCGTGGATGAGAATTGGCAGGGGAGAACATGAAAACAAGAGCGCCTGGAAGAGCGGAAAACCAATCTAATCTTTCGAGGAAAGGTACATAAAACCATAAAGTGGAGTATCACACTGTCTCCATCGCATGGTCTACGCTTTCCAAGTTCGTAGTTGGCCTTTCCCACATTTTATCCACAGGGTGGGCCAAAAATGCTACAATTTTTTATGAGTTGTAAATTAGATCATAGGGTGCCAATTCTGATTATATTTGGTAGGCTCATAAGGTGACTCAATTTGAGTTTAACGGATTGGTTTAGTAATACAGTTTGCAAAATAACATCATGGGTGACTCGATTTCTCTGCGGCTGATTCACATGAGGGAAGTTTTCAAGCGCAGAGAGGTTATGATTGCGCGGACAAGTTCATCGATGAGATAACGGCTAACTTTCTTATTTGTCCAACTGAAGATTACGGTATGATTGGAATTCCAAAGTATTCAACAAAAGATCGATGGAAGTTTCTGGATCCGCTTGGAATTTTTTCGCAGGAAAATATTGGGAAATTGAAACTTATCTAAAAGGAAACGGAGAGGGAAGACATCATGAAGAAAAGTATTGGCAATTTATTCAGCGTGAAGCTCACTTCGATTGTGAGGCGTTACCAATCGCGAACTCTTCTTGGGGTTCATGGTTATTTGAATAGACGAACATCTATGTTGTTGTCGCAAAAATATTGATTGCGTTTGGAAATGTCCCATCGGTCATGGTCATCAAAGATCAATTGCATTGAAATTGCTCGAAAAACCAACTATGATGTTTCGCATCTGTGATGAGTCACAGATTAGGTTCGCTTGGTGCCTCGTCGAAAGTTGTCAGAGCCCGTCGCTCAGGCCAGTCTTTCTCTCTTCCCGAGCAGGATCGGGCGTAGATTCGCCGGATGGAGGTGGTGCCATTTCTGTCCCTGCCAAGGAAACCTCTGACCCTTCGGTGAGTGAATAAAACGTCAACGACTAGCACAAGTAATAGTACAAGGGAATTAAAAAAAAAATCCAATCGTATTCATGTCTACCATAGGAGTGAAATTGACAAATAAATGTCAGGTTCTTTTTTCTATCTTACCTCTTCGTTATTTCGATTTCAAGGAGAAGTACAGGATGACCTCACTTCCTCGGGGCCAAGCGATGATCATCAACATAAAGGAATTTAACGATCCAAAGCAGAACAGGAAAGGGTCAGAATTTGACAGGAGGGATATGAAGAAATTACTCGAGAAGAAACTTCATTTCACTGTCACAGTTAAAGATGACCTGAAGCTCGAAGTAAGCCACGGAGGTTCAAACTTTCTCAGCAAATGACAATATTCATGTGTACCCCCGAATTTATAAAGACTGAGCCTTGTGAAACCTAAAATTATTGTTTGTAAGGAGTTACCACTTCAATGGCACGATTGCCAGCAAACCTTGGAATGTCTAAAATCTGAATATGATAATATTAACACATATTGAGGATGCTTGTTCCTGAGCAAGATCAACGCAATGCTCCGGGAAGAAATTGAAGCTGGAAGGTGTTAATTTATTCTCAGAATACTATAGCGTTTGGATATCCGCGCAGGAAATGAAAAAAAATCTGGATGAGTTTTCCAAGAGGCCAGAACACAAGCATGGAGACTGTTGCGTCGTTGTCATCATGAGTCACGGATACCAGGGGTCAGGTTCCGATCCCAAGACGTCATCTCCCTTCGTCATTTACTGTTCTGACGGGAAGATGCTTGAGGTTGAATGGATCATCCAAAAATTCAACACCGTTGAGTCCTTGAAGGGGAAACCCAAAGTCTTTATCATCCAGGCTTGTCGGTACTAGAATTAGCAAAGTCAATACTGACATGATATTGTGCATGGTCTTGTAGTAAAATATAGATTTCTCTACAGGGCAAAAGGCAGTCAATCTTTTGAGCAAATCTTTGGAGATATAGGAAATCCTGGGAGATTTGCAACAGATGCCAATAAGTTAGGAGGCGTTACAGTTCCAACTGATACATTTGTCGCCATTTCCACTACTCCATGTAAGCATCGGCTTCCAATGAACTGTTTTGTAATCTATGCACCAAATGTGCATTCACATATAACCCTCTTCTTTGATGTTTATCTTTACTTTACCTTTGAGGTCTCAATGAGCTAATTGCTTTTAATATACTTGTCAGATAATGTCAGCTACAGGGATGAGGAAGAAGGAACGCTCTTTATTCAGGCTATCTGCAGCGTCTTCGAACAGTTCGGCGGCGAAATGGACTTCATAAGCCTGATGAGAAAGGTAAGTTTCTGCCAGGTTGAACCTGTTTGAGATGCTGGAAGCATGTTTCGCAAAAAGGGGTTTTGGAATGTCTGTCTGTTCAGGTTCATGATGAAGTGGATAAACTGGCAGAAGAAGGAAACGCGGAGCAGAGCCCGGAGCTGTCGATCAGGGGAAAGAACAAGGTTTTGTACTTCAATCCGTGATTCTCCAAATGCTGAAATCAACATCCACTTCAGTTGGAAAACATTAGAAATAAATGTTTGCCTTCGTGCAATGAGAATTTCATTTTGGAGGATCACTGTCTACTATATCATAAGAAGCATTGGCCTTCCTGCTGATATTTTACTTTCGAACTCTATTTTTTTTCTTCGCAGAGCGAACAAAATTCATTTATTGATCAAGGTTTCTCTTACATAGAGGAATCTCTCACTAATGGAGGAGTTCTCTAGAAAAAAAGGCGCATGTGCAACATATGCATTTCGAGATAAACAATAAAAAACTTAACATTACTGCTCTGAAGGTCTACTGCTGGGTAAACTTAATTATCAGTAAATTGATTTCTTATACCTTTTTCCAATTGAATTTGTGGTTTCAATGAATTTCTTCATCTCACTTTGCTGTGATGCAGGCAGAAAATGTTTATGCTCATACGAACTTTTTTCCATATCTGCGCTGCTGGAACTTTCTCCAAAGAATCTTTCGCCACTTCCATCCAGATAAAAATAATAATTAATTAATGCAGCAATAGTTTCCAAAATAAACTCTATCTTCAAGAATAGCAATGAAAATGCTAATATTCAGAACAAGTTTCATTCACTAATCATTCAGCAGTGATCCATTATTCGTGTATACATCATCTGAATCTGCAATTACGAGTATTTCATGCATATATCCAACTTCTCACATCCTTCCGGAGGCTTCAATATCTGGGCCTCCTTCTTTCCCTTTCCTCATGTCTGGTTTCTTCCCCATTTTCCTTTTTAATTTAAAAGGACAAAATAATTATACCGAAATCGTTCAGCATGGAAGTGCTAATCGAATAATCATGGAGGCAGCCATATTGAAATTGTCTGGCAGTTGGTCTACTCTCGTATAGTGAGATCACGACAAAATGTTATCTCCTTTGCTGAATATGCAGGTTAACTACTTCCTGACCACCTTATCCAATGACTAAGACACCTAAAACAGTGCATGGACATGGATATGGAAAAAGGGCGTATGGGCACATACGGCCCTTTTCCAGGGAACTCCTCAACTAATCCTGATGCTTCACCAGAACTCCAATCCCACTTACCACTTTCATCCATTCTTTCGCTCGCAGGAGATCTCGCATGTATGCGAGTTTCGCATGAGTCGCGCATTCAGGTGAGCTTATCGTTTCGCTAGAATTCCTCTCTAGTGCCAGCGTAAAAATATATTATTTCATCCATTCATGCGTGAGGGCTAGGTGTACCTATGTGTGAGCATTAGCGTAAAAGTCACGCGTTAGAGGGAAAGGCTGGGTCCTTGCACATTCAAATCAGAATAAAGAGAAAGGCTACTTCCAGGAAATACAGAAACGACTATGGGTGGTTTGGTAAGACGACCTACCCTGCAAGTAAAATTTGTGCAAGTATACTCGCTAATGTCTTTTCTATAAGGCACTTCTTACCTACATGAAGTGAAACGGCCTAGGATAGAATTGAAGGTCAAGAAGAGAGGAAAATCTATACATTCTCGTAATCCACCCACGTGTTTAGGACGCGGGAAGAAAGAACATTCGTAGGACAAAGTTTTATTCTTTTTAGTTCTTGCAACTTCTTCATACAAAATATCAGAAGCCATAGTAAGCGTCTTTACCATGTCTAGAATAACTTTCAAACTTTATTCCATTTAACACAAGCAATTACATTCAGATTCTAGAGGATATTCGGTTTAACCAAACAATAGAAATAAAACTTAGGGAATCATGACTATGCAAGAATTGAGGAAATAAGTAATTAGGAATCATTGGAGAGAATCGTAAGTAGGAGTGCATTTACGTGGTATTGCGCCGCGTGTTAGAGAAAGAAGAGGTACAGGTGCTTACAAGTAAATGTGAAGACTGGTTAGTCGCCTGAACTGGACTTGACCCACATAAGATTGCCCTTATCTGTCCTCAGTGCAAAAAAATTCCCAGAAAGAATTCGGAAACATTCTTAGAGAGTTGGAATTTTCTACCTGCTATAGAGTTAGGAGGAGATGGTGGTCTTTCCCAAAGGGTAATTTTTTATTTTAAGGAAAAACCGTCAGGGCACAACAGAATCATTCCCGATGGCATCGAGCCATACAGGCGTTGGATATCATCTAACGGCACAGTCCACTACCCTTCCAGCAATTGCTCCCGCAGAGCAGCAATAGTGTGGACAGGTTGCAGAAGGGCTTGGCCGAAGAGTTTGAGTGGCATCCTGCTCCCATTGTCGCCAACACCGACCAATTGCTCTTGCAATATGCAGCAATACGACGAGTTGACCAACCGGATTCACGACGTCCAATAGTGCGGCCTCTCTCAAACTCGTTCAACTGGCGATACGGTTGCAAAGAAAGTCGTCTAAGCATTCTGTACACTATGACGTTACTACTGCATTGTGATCCCTTGGAGTTGTGTGTATTGTGTGACTACTGCCAGTCAAACGCGCACCTACGAACTGTCCAGTGTCACCTTTGTTTCCGCTCTTTCTATACCGAACATGTTACGTGCCAAGCCTGGCGGGTTAACCATTGACAGTTATCGCCACAATGTACGTATGTTCCTGCTTTAAGACGAATCCATTCACTGCATCTAGGTAGGGCAATTTCATTTTCACAGGGTGTATATAGGCGATCGCGACTGACTGACGTTAATTCTAACCGTGTCCTAGAGAGGTGATGAATATGAAACTTGGTACATTTGTACCTTTTGGGATGCAGAATTCAGAAAAAGTCAGACTTTGGAGGTATCAGGTCATCCCATAAGTAATGCGGTTTTTTCGCATTGCCAAACTTGTGACTTGTTTATACGTGTATCTGTGCACATCTCATGGAATATTTCTATGCTAACCTGTGTAGACGTTAGTCTTAAGTCTACGTGTAGGTTTTAACGAGTTAACAGAGCTCCGTTTTTCTTAGACGTTAAAAACAAAATGGAGGTGTCAGAGGAACACATTCGGCATATAATGCTTTATGAATTTAAGAAATGGAATTAGGCGACCGCAGCCGCGAAAAACATTTAAGATGTTTTTGGGTGGGTAAAGATTCCCTAAATGCGAGGAAATGCCAACGGTGGTTCCAGAAGTTCAGGTCTGGTGACTACAGCTTAGCTGATTAAGCGCGTTCGGTCGGACCTGTTGAGTTCGATGATGACCTGCAGATAGCCACACTTGAAGATTATCCTGCTAATGAATCGATTCAAAAACGGCGCTTGAAGTTCACGAGAATGTAGTGAAGCGTAAATGTTTTCCCGGTCTCTAAGATTGTCTGATGACAACACATGTGGAACCCGCTTTCCAAGTTTTCACACTTTTCCCAGCTGTTGTTTCCCGTCGTTTCCTGTCCCGTCGTTTCCTAGCGGCAATTAACGGAGAAATGGGTCGAATTGAGTTACTGGGCAAGTTCTTCAATTGTTACAGTAGGATCTTCTTCAAGTGTGGCTATCAGCAGGTCATCATCGAACTCAACAGGTCAGCCTGAAAGCGCTTCATCGGCTAAGCTGTAGTCGCCAGACCTGAATTTCTGGAACCACCGTTGGACGACGGAAGAGAGGGATGAGGGTAATCCCGTGGGCATCGTCTATTGGATTTCGCGAAAGCTTTCGATACCGTTCCTCACAAGAGGTTGAGGGTCAAACTGGAGGCGCACGGGATCCACGGTAGGACGAGCGAGTGGTACATGGGGAAGCGTCGAATTAGGTCGGAGTCGCAAGCGGTGTCCCTCAAGGCGAGGTCCTCTAACCGCTTCTGTTTTTTTGGTCTACATAAACGATTTGGATCTCGGGGTAGAGGGTAAGATGAGTATATTCGCCGACGACAGCAAGATAGGTTTTACCATAAGGGGGGAGGTGGATAGGGCTCGAGCCGAGCGAGATAGAAGTCTTTTGGACGAGTGGAGCAAGAAATGGTTCCTGAGGTTTAATAAAAGTAAGTGTAAAGTTCTCCACTTCGGTCGAAGGAACGGTAGGTCTCTCGACACGTTCGACGATGTTAAATTGGATGAGGCAAACCGAGAGAGAGATTTAAGAGTTTCTATCGACGATGACCTCTAGTTTTCTTCGCACACGCAAGCGACGGTGGCCAAATGCAACAGGATTCTAGGTTACATTCGTCGGTCGATTGCAAGTAGGACGTGTCGCGTTATTCTTCCGTTGTATGCGGCGCTGATGAGACGCCAGTTGGAATATTGCATCCAGTTTTGGAGTCCTACAAATGAGGGCGATTTGTTTGCGCTCGAGGGAGTACAGAGGAGGGCCACAAGAATGATTAAGGAGGTCAGGGGACTTCCATACGAGAAGCGTTTAGAAGCGTTGGGACTGTTCTCGCTCGAACGAAGGTTAAGGAGGGGCGATCTCATCCAGGCTTTTAAGATAATTAAAGGAATAGATAATGTCGAGTGTGGTAGGTTTTTCCAGTTTGATGGCACCAAGAGAACGAGAGGTAACCAACTTAAGTTGCGCAAACCGCTGGTGCGGCTCAGGTCGAGACAGGAATTCTTTACTTGCAGAGTGGTGAACGCGTGGAATGCGTTAGATGACGAAGTAGTGGCTGTCCCGCGCTGTGACTATCTTTAAGAAGAAACTGGGTACTTTCATGGACAGGCAAAAAGGTGGGGGGCAATGCTGACGTTAGGTACTAGACAGCAAGCAACTAGGATAGTAAAAAAATATATATATACTGTATATGCAGAAAAGATTTAAAGTTAGGCACACATAGAATCATAGAAGTAAAGAGTTTGATAAAAATCAAAACTTTCGACCCTTTATGTCACGTATTTCAATGGGGACGTAAGAGAGATTCCCCCCTGTCTGGCGTCCAAAGGGATGCCGCCATAGGGGGGTGGTGTCAATAACAATGTCATTGTCATATAACAATGGAAGGGTTGGGGGAAGGGGTTCCCTATTGTGTGATGTCAGGGGCTGCCTCTCCACCTTTCCTGTCGTCTGCTTTGCCCCGCCCCCTGTGGGAGGGGTGATTTATGCATGCAAATGAGTGGATGCATGCTATTGATGCGATGATATGTTTGGCTCGATAGGGATCGACGACGGAGATGTGTTCCAAGCTCCGTTCTTTT